CAGGTCTGCCCTCAGCGCCGACACACGTGACTGATGGCAGGTAAAGGAGGAACAGACTCGGGCCATAGGCAGTCCAGGAGCATGTTACTCCTCCAGGTGTACATGCTTCAGAAACCACAAGATGTGCACAGGTTTGTTTGGTTTTTAATATTTTTTTTTTGAGAGATTTTCACTGTAGGGCACGTGCGCTCGCCAGACAGACAGAGAGAGACATAGAGACAGAAAGCGAGAAATCACCCCCCAGGGGGGATGGTCACGCCGCAATCCCTTCTCCTCCATTCTCCTCTCGGGATCTTGGGCACGCACGCACACACGCCCGGCATGAGTTTTAAGCCACCGGGTCCGGGACGCAAACCGCGGTCGACTACGTGGGAGTCCAGCGACATAGCCATTACGCTAACTGCTGGTTCCCTGTTTTTTAATATTTTTTAAAAATGACTTATTTAACTTTATTATTATTCTTCAATTTGACAAGAGAGGGATGGATTGAGAGAGAGAAAGGGAGAGTGACAGTGAGAAAGCAAGCCACTGGGTCGGCATGTGGACCATGGTCAGCCATGTGGGAATTCAACATCTTAATGACCACGCCACATGCTGGTCCCTATGTGAACAAGTTTTATTTCCTTATTGCACTGACTCGGGGAGACTAGGAGCTCCTGTTTTCAGAAAACAAAAATAAAAAAACGGCCTCTTCTGGGATCTGCCAGCTTCCTTAGTTTCAGTTTTAATGATATGGTATTTTAGCATGAGGGACTCCATTTTGGTCTGGTCTGTTGGCGCCTAGCAGGACCTTGGTCCAAAACAATGGCTTCTCATAATTTTGTTTAACCAGGCCATTTGGACTGCAGAAACACTATAACTTGTATGTGTGTGTGTACAGTAGGGGTGGCGTCAAGCAAAGACAACAGGACCTGGTGGTTAAGGCAGCAGGATCCCACCTGGCCAACTATGTGGTTCGAGTCCTAGACCCAGTAGCTTAAAAAACATGACAGTTGGAGTCAGCAGGTGTCATGGTGGTTGGGGAGGTGGACTCCCTCATGGCCGACCACCGTTTGAGTCTTGGACACAATGAGTTGCTTTCTCACTTTCCCTTTCTTTTTCTCTGTCTCTCTCTGGTCAAATTGAAAGAAAAAAAATAATAACAAATAAAATTAGATAAATAAATCTTTTTTTTTTTTGGAGAAGTTTTTGCTATAGGGCACGCACACTCACCAGAAAGACAGAGAGAGATAGAGAGACAGAAAGCGAGAAATTACCCCCCAGGGGGGATGGCCATACCGCAATCCCTTCTCCTCCATTCTCCTCTCGGGATCTTGGGCATGCACGCACACGTGCCCGGCGTGAGTTTTAAGCCACCAGGTCCGGGACTCAAACCATGGTTGACTACGTTGGAGTCCAGCGACATAGCCATTACGCTAACTGCTAGTCCCGATAAATAATTCTTTAAACAAGTAAATGTGAGAGCATGTGTCATGCACACTCAAACTGTGAAGGAGGGAGAGATGAAGATGGGATTGCGGCATGAGTATCACTCTCTGGGGTGCTTTCTTTTCTTTTCTTTTCTTTTTTTTTTTTTTGAGAGGTTTTCACTATAGGGCACATGCCCTCGCCAGACAGACAGAGAGAGACATAGAGACAAAAAGCGAGAAATCACCCCCCAGGGGTGCTGGCCATGCCACAATCCCTTCTCCTCTCGGGATCTCGGGATCTCGGGCGGGCACTCACGCACATGCGCCTGGCGTGAGTTTCAGTCACCGAGTCCAGGACTCGAACCATGGTCGACTACATGGGAGTCCAGTGACATAGTCATTATGCCAACTGCTGGTCCCTCAGGGTTGCTTTCTCTCTCTCTGTCTCACTCTAGTAAGTGTACTCCCTCTCGCTGGCACATTTTTTCAACAAAGGAAAAGAAAAATGACAACTGATTCTGAGAATCTTAAAGCTAAGTAAAAGTAAATGGCATGGAAGAAATAAGCAAAATGTTAGAGCTAAAAACCCATCACATGGATTTCATGTTATTTTCCTTTTAAACTATTATCTTTCTTCAGTAGTTTTTTTTTTTTTTTTTAAAGATGGGGTCTTGCTAGTCACCATCCTCCTAAAACAGCCTCCTGAGTGGCTGGAGCTATAGGCACATGCTGCTGCACCTGGCTTTTCAGGTGGCTGGGAATCCCCCCCAAGCCTCCAGGTGGCTTCAGCCTCCAGAGCAGTGATGTGATCAGCACACACCAGCATGGCTGGGCCTAGACGTGTAGTTTTACCACCACCATCCAGTGCGTTTTGTTTCAATGACTGTCAGTCACTACATACTTATTCAGAACTTGGGACTTGGCCAAGTAAAGAGTCACATAGGTAGAAAGGGCAGTGGCTTAAGAAAGCACATCTTTCAACTGGGAGAGAAGTTACACATTCCTTCCCCAGCAGAAAACAATGTGAGTGTTTAAATGCTAAATTAGGAGAGGCAGGGGGAGGGGACCAGGCCTAAGAAAATTTAAGGAAACCTGAACTCCTCCACTCCCCAAAACAAATTCATGCTGAACACATCGCCTGGAAGAATCTGGCATAAACTCCGAAGTATAGTATGTGTGTGCAAACTTACAAACCGCCGGGACTGTGGAGATGGTCCACAGGAACTCACCACAGGAAGCACGTGCAAAGGCACTTCCTGTACCTCTCACACTCACAGCGAGGGAGCACTACTGGAAGTGACCTGTGGTCTGGCTGCACTCAGCCAGGAGCCTGCTGCTACACTATGAAAAGTCCTATTCTTAGAGGCAGAGGTGAGCCTTGGCTGCAGCTCACACAGGTGTTCTCCTGGGAGAGAAAACCTATCTCAGAAGTCACCCCAAAGGCCGGATAAGCACAGGAGCATAGAAGCCAAGCAGAGAACCCGAGTGTCAGGGGTTCCTGCGTGCTGTGCAAATCTGTCTTTATACTCTAACTTCCTTCATCTGATAAATGGAAGTGACTCTTCATCTCAAATGTTTCTAACAATACAAAGGCATTTCAAAAACTTCATGGAGGGGGCGGCAGGTGGTGTGGTAGTTAAGGTGCTGGACTCTCACACGGCTGGCCATAGTTCGAGTCCCAGACCTGGAAGCTTGCTCTCTCATTCTCCTTTCCACTCTCTCTCTCTCTCTTTATAATAAAGTAATACAATCAAATAATTCTTAAAAAACGTTTATGGGAAAATAGAATTGAAGTACAAATTTATTGTGGTACAAATAAAGTTTGAAATTCAATGTGCACAGCTTTTTTCCTAATATGTATTTTCCCTGAACTTTTTGATGAATCCTCCCACCCCCCAACCCTGGCCTTGTATCTGCTCAGTAGTCCAGACAAGAGAATATTCTGTTCAGGAAAGGACCCAGGACCCATAAACTACTTGACTAAGGTGAGGTGTCCTTCTCCTCCAACTTGAGAAGTTCAGCAAGACAGGGGAGTGTGCCTGTTTTTTTCTGAGTGGTCCAGACTGGACTACACAGCTCAAAGAAACTGGGGGAAGAAGCCAGGTGTGTCTGGGAGTGCAGCAGGGTTAGGGAGGCTGACTCCAGTGGGAAGAGCCAAGCAGGATGGTACCCTGCCTGCTGCTGCCCACACTGTCTGCCAGCTTGGCTAGTGCTGAGCGTTTCTGCATTCTTCTGGGCTGCTGAGCTTCCCCAGGCACCACATCCCTCCAAGGGAACAGGTAAGCCCTGACCCCAGCACCTCTCCCCAGTGCTGCCCAGTGGAGACTCTACCAGAGGAGACCTGGGCAAGACCAGTGCTATATCAGGGGCAAAGGGCAGATTACCAGGCAGCAGGGAGGGGTGCACCTGCCTTCACCCCTAGGGCCCAGCTTTGGGTGGCTGTGGGGTGAGGAGCACAGCCAGGTCTCCACCTGGCCTTTAAAGAGGGTGTACAGGATTGTATTTAAATAACCTTTGGGCCCCTTTCCGGAAATCTAAAATGAAAACGCCCCCCCCGCCCCCCCACGGTAGGAACCACAGCTTGTCTTGGGAAGTGGCCGTCCTGGGCTGACTTCCCTGTACCTAGGCTCATAGCTCCTACCCACCTTTCTACACCCACTACCCCACCCTGCCCTAGTTTCCTGGGAGGGTTCCAGCGCCAGGGGCCGGCCCTGACCCAACAGGCTGAGTCCGGGGACGTGGGCTCCATTCTGGGAAACCGCATTGGTCCAGATGCTGAACTGATCATGGCTTTAACAGTCCCCGGATCCAAAAAGTGGGTCCTGGGAACCTTAAAACCGAATTAGCGCCTGGGGAGGCCTTTAGGACCGAGGGGAGCCATCTGTTCCCAGAGTCGGGCTGCAAATTCCTGTCCTCCTAGTCCCCTGCGGCTGTCCTCCTCCCCCAGCCTCTGTCGCCCCCACATTTCCAGACTCCAGCCCTGGGTCACCCGCCAGGCGCTATCACCCGCGAGGCCCTCGCTGGCCTGGAGCAAAGTTGACCGCCACCATCGCGCGGGGCCGCTCCCTCCTCACAGCCATCCTCCC